GACAATGAAAATTAAGAATATTTTGGCCCTGATTACTAAAGATTGGAGCTGGAAAATTCTGCTATCAGGATTAACTAATTCTTATGTGACTCTTTCTTGTCAAAGGAATTCTTAAACGAGTTGCTGTGTGAAAAAGGACAATTCTTTCCTATCTTGGTGCTGTGACTATTTCAATTGAAAGTAATTTTCCTCCCACTTTCTCTTCGTCTCTTTTACTAAAAATAGTTTCGCTCGAAATTTCTTTCTCCTCCCTCACTGAAAAAAAATCTTTCCTGTCCGTTCTCATTTTTTCCTTCATGGTGATTTTTTTAGATTTTACCGGCCACACACTAAGTGTGATTTTTGGATAGCACGTCTCCGCCGAATAGTTTGCATTGTATTTAAAATCGCATTATGACAGGTATATGGTAGAGATTTTTTCAGAAAAGGTTAAAGTTGACGAACACTTATGACGGTATATGACGTCTTTTTATCGAAAAACGTCTTTATATACAAATCCTTCTAGTAAAAAAGGAGTATATTGTCAGTCTCTCTGTAGCTCAGGTTACGGTAACCGTGAGTGCCTTTTTTCCCACTTTTTTGCGCACTGAGGCTTTTCACGGTCATGTACAAATAAATTCAACTACAGCAATCTGAAGTAGCTCATTCGACCTCCGACATTTCACGGATTTTTTGCTTTTAAGTACTGAAAAGGGTCTCGATAATGAATCAGTCATCCGTCCGTCCGTCACTTGAAAAAATTTGTCAACACGGGTTTTTACCCCAAAAAGATCTTTTTGTTGTCTTCCAGACCCAGTGGGCTTTTTGAACATTTCGGTCTTTTCGCGAACTTTGACGCAAAGCAGTAGCGAGAAAATTCTTCTTTACTATATGTCAGTCTTTCAGATTATAGTTTAAAAGTATGAGCGCAATGTTATTTTAGACTTCAGGTACGTATATATGTAGTCATAGTTGTAAAACTACACTGTGAAGTACGTATATGATCGCTTGAAACGTAAATCTTGAGATAGTTGCTTACGCAATGATAACAGAGGCTTATGCGGAATGTCATTAATGCAGTGAGCTAAACTCGAGCATAAAATGCTTTCTATCCAAGATTATTCAGATTCAGTCAGTTAGGGTCACGTTTTCGAGAAAGTCCAAAAAAAAACATCCTTGAAGCCTTGGAAACATAAAAAGTGTTGTTACTAAGATCTGACCATACCTGGTAGTAGCGATTTCTAGAGATCTTAACTCGGATAAGTAGCAACTGAAATTTCAAAAATCATTTAAATTTTTTTGCAAATAATACTGGAAAAGGTATTTTTGCCACCGAAGTGGTTTTTCTGGACCAACAATGGCAAAAATGGCAAATTGTATTATTGCCCGGATACGGGAGAGATTATACTAAATTTTTTTGGTGAGATGAGAGAAAATTGAGGGAATCGAGAGAATGTGAGATAAAATCAAAGGGCCGTTTCTTCACGGTTTATGACAAATAAAACTAATATAGACGTAGATCTAATAGTCTCTAATTAAGGTCATTCCGTATGCGACCAACCATTCATTATCAGTCTTCTGCTGCTTGTACAATGAAACCCCGCCACTGAGGGGGGCGTAGAAACTGTCCATATTGACGAGGTGTTGAATATAAAGAAAATGTAAGGGACGGACCATTAGAAAAGTTAGGGGGGGAGGGGAATTTTCGAGCCGCAGGAATTTTTTTTCGTTATCAAATTCCTTGTATGAATTTTTTTTAGGCCATAGCAGACCATAGCATAAATATTTTTTTAGGATTAATTGGCGTGCATGAATTTTTTTAAATTTAATTTTCCCTTGCGCGAATATTTTTTTTGTACTTCGCCCGGCCCCCGCATAAGTTTTCTAATGGTCCGTCCCTAAGGGCTTTCTTTCAGTCAGGGACAGAGCAAACTGTCGGTAATAATGAGGTGTCCGTATTAAGCGGTTGTGTTAACGATGTCTTCTGAGAGGAGAAGTAACTCTTGTTGGAATTCCTTCTTGACCACAAAAGAACTAGGGAAAAAATTAAACCTTTCAACACGCTTCTCTCACATAAACACCCACATGGAACAGTCCACCGGAAAGCGAAGATGACTAAATATGTATAAACTTAAAGTGGCAATGATACGGAAATTCAGAACGTGTTCAAGCATTTCCTCTTTCTTTCCGCCACTAATTTACTTTCTGCCGCGGTTATTTCTGATTCGTACGTGATTTAAGCCGCGAAAGCATATATAGCGATCGAGAACGCTGATCAAGTCTCACAGAAGGCGAGAAAATGCGGCTAACAAACAATTATCACAACTTCTTTTCACCCTAAATGTTTCTCACATAACAAATGTCACTTAAATAATATCAGTACTCAGGCTATTAATTTATGATGCCCGACAAAAGCAGTCACGTACGAAGCGAAGCGAACTAGAGTGACAAAAAGATTGTTAGCAGGTTTTTCTTTTCAAGGGTCACATAACAATCGAATGTTCTGGGATAAAAAGTTTTGGCAAAAGTGCAGGCCATAGGGCAGGTCGCAAAGTAACATTTCTGGCCTGTTTCTGTCTCTTAGAGAGGTGGCGGGGGGGGGGGGGGGCGAACTGCCGCACCCACAGACAGAGACAGGGCGGCCACTGGGTGGAGAGAGGTGTAAAGGTGTAATTTTGGCACGCGATTTCAAAGTACAATATTCCCTTGTCTAGCTTAGCGCCCATAACAGGAACCCGCTATATATCTGTCTAAAAAGAAAATTCTGTCCAACAGTATAGGATGTTATTATTGGAATGTCTTGGTATTCCTTTACCTATACGTGAAAAGACAACTGAAAATTGTCTAAAAGAGCACTATATTACTATTATCTTGCTCAGTATTAATCATCGCCACACCGACCCTCGTATGTTCTAGTATTTTTTGTACACTTTCCTTTTTCCTCTCTCTTATATATTTCATACTTTGTATACTTTTTTTCCTCTTTGATCCTAATAAAACTGTAATTTAATCGAAGGACATGAAATTAGTTTCACTTTTCTTGCCCTTCTCCATTTATTCTTGGAATACGATATTTAAATATTAAGAATAATATCTTCAAATTTGTAATATAAAATAAATGGCCTGTAGTAAAAAATAAATGGAGAAAATAAATAAAATAAAAAAAAAATACAAAAATAGTAGATACATACCTCACTGGAATGCCTAGCCTGCAGTGCAGGCGTATTTTGGGTGGGCGAAACCTTGTTCGTGTTTGTAATATTGTTGTAGCCGCCATCTTTGATTTTATGACAGTGGAAGTTTCAACATGTAGCTTTCGCGAGCAAATTGCGCGCTCAAAGAAAACGCCTGCACTGCAGGCTATGGAATGCCCTTTAAAGGGGCTACATGTACGTCACGAGGATATTGCAGCGGTTTTAGGTCAATTCTGTGCTGAAGTCATTACTTAGTGCCTTTATCCATACACAAAATGCTCCTATAAAGTTACGAAGAAGATATCAAACAAATTTTTCACCTGGAAGCACTCTAGTCTGCTACTCAGCCGTTTTTAGGGTCGTCACGCAACGAGGAGGGTTGCGTGACGACACTAAAAACGGCTGTGTAGCACTCTCTAACCATAATTTTTTTTTTGCCCGACTTTTTCAAGTTTCAATCCACGTCCTTCCTTGCCACTAGTAGCAACATACGGCAGGAAACAGAACTGCCTAAATGGTCTTAACTGTTAGTGAAACTGGACCATTATTTTTAAATTGATGATAAGGAACATTTAAGCTTTTCAGAGAGATAGCAAACAGCGTGACATACCAAGCCCCTTTAAAGTCAGACGGTTGTATTCGCTAACGTCAGTTTCACTAATCATCCTTTCTTCTTGTAGCTTGTTCACGGACCTTCTATTTTCTCTTTGAGATTTCAGTATTAACCTCAAGCGCTGTGACAGGCTATTAATTTCTGGTGTAGTTTACAGGCAGCCCGGGGGGCAGACAGCTAACACACTAAACTCACCAGAATATAAGGGAAACAGCTTATTTTGAGGCAAAAGCAAGAACAACGACAACAACAAAATTTACTGTCAATGAATTTCTTTTCAAGGAAAAACAAAAGTTTCTCCAGCGCAAAATGCTCGTAAAAAGATAGTTTCTTCATTTATAGACACTCGTCTGAAATTTAAGTTCGGAGACAAAATTAAAAGCCGAACAAATACATAAATTGTCTGTGCAATTGTTGAAATCTGACTTGAAGATTTCTTTGTACATCAAAATTTGTTCATTAAATCACTGGCACTCAGATTTCTGACGTGGACAGCGAGACAAAAAGAGCGGTTCACTTGTCAAATGTTCAAATTCAAAACGGCAAACGATGACTCAAAGCTTTGGTGGATTTCATAGTTTATTCTCTTCAAGGAAGTCAGGCAAGCGCAAGGCAGGGAAAAACCTAGCCTGCGATCATGCCCTCTCCCTTTATCTCTGTAATCTGTGTTCGGAAGGATGGCGTTATTTTTTTCCCTCTCGAGCCAAAGAAGCAAAGAAGCAAAAAATAAAAAAATAAAGAAATAAAATAACGCCTGATCTCAGGTTAGGAAAAACCGAGATGCGTGATATGCAAGGGTAAAAGTAGTAAAACAAAACTACTGAAGATGAGCAAAGTTCTTTATACGGTAAAATATATAATCATGCAGCAGAGCTTATCTTCTACAGTTCCAGAGTTCAGGTAAATAACAAGATCATTAATCTAATTACTCCAACTGTGGCCTTATTGAAGGCCATAGTTCTACGTATAGTGGTTGAAACATGAGCTAATTTCTCTCTTTTGGACGTGTTTACTGGCTCAATGTCAGTTCTCTCTTTTTCGTAGAGGCGTCTTTGTGACACTAGTAGGCCTACCTAGTCTAGTCTAGCGGCGATGGGCGAGGAGAGATGGCCCTATTCGCGGGCTAATTGGAGAAACGAAAGCTGATCTGAGCCGCGCTAATGCGTCGGGGAACTGAGTCCTAGGCTCTTACCCAGACTCCTTTATTCTGGGTCAAAATGGCGACCACTAGTATGTGGAGGAGATGGCGACATTTCCAACAAATGTTGTGGCTTTCGGATAAGTGGAAAACTAAAGGAATTCAGCATGTTTGTAGACAAGTCAGTACTCAAAGCAAAAGAACTACTAAACGATATCCCTGGGCTTGGGTTGGCTCGCTAGCTTTTGGTGTATTCTTGGGTTATGGACTACCCAAATTTTTTAAAAGTCGGAAAGATAGCTCCATCGTGAAAGCGAAATCAGTTCCCAGAGATGACATGTCGTCAAATTCGGGATCACCACCTCGGTCAGTAACATTTAATTTCATCGCGGACGCTGTAGAGATAGCGGCCCCCGCTGTTGTAAACATTGAAGTCACGGGACGACACGCGGGATTTTTTAGGGGACATGTTGGTCCCACTAGTGCCGGGTCGGGATTTATTGTCACTGAGGACGGTATGGTTCTTACGAATGCACATGTGGTGGAAAATGCTGTGAATGTGAGTGTTAAACTAAAAGATGGCCGAGAATTTAGTGGCACTGTGATTGATATTGACTTGGAGAATGATTTAGCAGCTGTCAAGTTGGATCCAACTAAGGTTAGTATGTAACCCGTTGGGGGGGAAATACTCCGAATTAAAGGAAGGGTATGATCGAAGGACTTTTTTGGGTTGAAAATGTGGCAAGTATCTTTTTGTAGTGCCTTGACTTTTTTCGGGGACGGAGGGGTGGGTATTTAAAATGTTGTAGAACCACCCATGCATACCAGCTGGTTCTAGTCTACCAGGCCCCAGTTGTTCAAAAGGTGGATAACACTATCCACTGGAAAAAATTGCTATCCAGTGGATAGTGCAATTTATTGTTTGTCCTAATACTTGTCTGCTGAATAGTGGTAGGATGGTACATTTTTTTGCCTGTTATATCATTGAATCCTTTACGGAAAATTTATAAAGAGTGGTTGTTTAGCATGGGATTCTTTTGGGGTTAATTTTTGGTTCAGGGATTTTTTGGGTTTTGTTGGAAGCTCTAGAAATTTTTTGGGGGGGTTTTGAGTTTTGCCCCCTTTAGCTGTAAAGTACCCCCTGGGGTAACTTATCTTACTTCCCTTAAAGAAAGGAAAAAAAAAATGTCCCCATGTCCACACCTTTAGGCAAACCCAAAAGGGTGGAGATGAAAATAGAGGTGGAATACCCCACATATACAGAGGTCTCCTTGTGATAACATTGATAGGTGGTTTGTTGTCCTTGCCTTCCTCCCCTGAATAACACTCACATACTCATACTACTCTATGCAGACATATCTGTTGCAGTTAATTTTTGTTTTTCCTTTGTTTTAAATTCATTAGCACACATTACCATACCCAAAAACAATGGAAAAATAGAAATTCACTGAAATAAAAAATTAACCACAACATATCTACTAGAAAGACAACATACGTAGATTTCATTCTTCCAACTACAGTACGAAAATAAACAAAACTGCTTCGCTTGAGTTGGTTACACTTTGCAAGAAAGTTTGTTTTGCTGTTCTTAGTGTTAAGCATTTCACTGTAAAAGTGGGGGTGGGGCGGGGCAGCATCTTATGTAATCTCTACTCACTGATGAATCACAGTACATTATTATTCTTTCATGTTCGCTATATGTTATAATATTTTATCATTCTAGGATAAAAATTCCTTTCAATTCTGTACATTGTTCCAGAATATTAGGTTTCCTACTCTGACCCTTGGCTCGTCTGCTACAATTCGCCCTGGAGAATGGGTGATAGCAATGGGTAGTCCTCTACAGCTGAGCAATACAATAACAGCGGGAATTGTCAGCACTGTGCATCGAGCTGGGGAAGAGATTGGACTGCCAAACAGAGAGATGGAATATATCCAAACAGATGCAGCTATAAATGTAAATCATTAGCTTTAATGTTGATACAGGTTGAGATCTTGGGTGGGAGAAGGGATGAGGGTTGTCAAAAAAAATAAAATAAAATCTGAGTTGGATCACGTAAAGCAATAAGTGACAGAACTCACTGCAAGTCAGATAGTGAGGGGATAAGAAAAACAAAATTTATTGTAGGGCAAAGGTACTGAAAAATTAAAGGGGATGGCAAAAGTCAGCAGACTGACTGAATCTTTCCCATGGAGACAGTACACCTTTTTGACTGTCAGTCCAACAAATTGTTAGTCTCCTTTGCAGCCGTTTCATTGTTATCACACAATAAGCACTATGTGATCACAGTAAAATAGGTCAGTGAGACTTACAAATTTGTGAGAGAGTTTAAAATAAATCATTATAAATAATGGCAAAGAGGCCGTGGAGTTGGTAGAAAATGTTGGCGACTAATGTGCTGTTTATGCTCTGAAACCCAGAGTCTATGCATGCTCCAGCTTTGTTCCTTAACTCTTCAAGTATCATGAGCGACCAGTACACCAGCCAAGTGCCAGTGTTTGCCACAAAAAACTGATTTGGTTAATTGTGTTTTTCTCTCTATAAAGGTTGGAAACTCTGGCGGACCTCTTGTTAATCTGGTATGGCTGTTAGTATTTAATAATATATGTTATCAATTTTATACGTATTTTCAGTCTTCTTCTAAACTATTGGCAGAATGAATCAGATGTGTTCTTGAAAACAAAACTCATTGAATTAAAAGGGCAAAATATTCTCCATAGTTTTATGAGGATGTTGAAAAAAAGTAGAAGCCAAAAGTTGAATTGAATTGATCAATCTTACACAAGATACTGGTAAGCATTTGCTAGTTAATATCAATGTAAGTTTTCAACTTGGGAGATTATGTGTTATGGAAACAAATTATTGGAAGCCTACTGGTTTCAAAGCTGTGAAATCCAGGTTGGCAGTACCCAAGGTTTTCACAAAAACTAAGATTTTCAGCTGCCTATGGGCAAAAGTTTGTCACCAGGAGCTGTTGGTTTCTACTATAGCACAGCCCTGTGTAACTTCCTTTTTTTTCAAAATAATACAATAAGCTGATTTGCGGTTTCTATACAGGATGGTCATGCTATTGGTATTAATGCAATAACCGTGAGGTTTGCTGCCGGAATTTCATTCTCCATTCCAATTGATGCTGCCAAAGATTTCCTATCAGGAGCAATTGAAAGAGTTAAGAGTGGTAAATATTTGGGCAGAAATACAAGGCAACCACTTGCACCTCACCAGCGCTGGTATATTGGAGTCAGCATGTTGACATTGACTCCACAGATTCTTGCAGAGTTACGACGCAGGGACCAAAGTTTTAACAAAATTACATCTGGAGTGTTTGTTCCACAAGTGAATTATGGTTCGCCTGCACACAGGTAAGTTATTAACTAAGGAAATTATAAATCTCTTATAATATACCATATTTTCTTGATTAAACACCAGGCCTCAAATGCCGGCTCATAAAGGAGCAGCTGTAAAATTAACAAGCCCCTCAGACTTAATGGTGTACAATAAACTGATAGAGTACAAAAGCAAGATACACAGCTGTCAAGAAAAGGCGTATAAACTACAAATTCAAACTAACACTTGGGGCGTTTTAGTAATTGAGAAAATATATTATGGTAATGCATTACCATAATTAAGTGTGTCCTCCTCAGTGAGAAAACAGGCAATGGACATTTCAAGTTGGTTCGTGCCTTTCTGTACTCCTTTAAATTAAATGTATAAGACAGGCATCTCTCAAAGAAAGCTGGTCCCAATTTTTTAGTCCAAGAGAGGGAGGAAAGAAGGACCACCTGATCACAGGTGAAAGAGAGAGTTGCGCTCTACACCTTTTGGTAAATACAGTCGAACCTCCACCAATGGCATGGATTTCTCAACAATGGACAGTCCACCTCTCTACAACAGCCACTTTGTTCTGTCCCCAAAGTGGCTTTTGTGGAGAGGTTCAACTGTATGCTCTTTTTCTTTCAGGGGTGGTTTACGATCGGGCGATATTATCACAAAGATGAATGGTAAGACCACAGAATCCTCAAAACAAGTCTACCAGCATGTCCACAAAGGAGAAACTCTTAAAATAGAGGTCAAAAGAGGTGAACAGTATCTTAACTTTACTGTGCAACCAGAAGTTGTGGGATAGAAGTATCACGCACAAAAGTGAGACTTATTGACAAAACTGTGTTGTTCAGGGCAATGAATCTTATGCAATAAAATAATTTTATTATTGTGGGTTATACTTGAAAACTTGTTCAACAATATACTAATTACTTGAACCCATTTGGTGATACACAAAGTGTACAAAGATTATTTATGTTTAGGCATTACTCAGGAGTATTGTTAAATATCATTTTTAAGTTTGTTAGATCGTTTTCACATGATGCCACAGCGGCCATAGTTGTGTACAAAACAATGAATCGGCCGCCATGTTTGTGTACAAAAAAAATCCCGTGGGATTCGAACTCTTTTCGCATATTGAAACTTTCTTTTATTCCAAGCAACTTGCAAAGCTGTTGACCACGTGACTGAAAACGATCTATTATTCAACCACATATTTGTGAATGTATATTTTCTAACAGTCTGGTTTGGTTGGGTCATTGGGCAAGTCTATTGTGAATCTTAACTCTGCAGGTATTTTATTCATGCCAGTAGATCTGTATCACTCTCTTGGTTACTGGCAGTTCAAAATATAACATTAAGTTAGCTACCTGTTGCCTTTACATAAAAGTCTGGTTATTATAATAATATCTATTTTTCTGATTGAAGTGAGCTTTTGAATAAAGATATAAGAGTATTCTATTTATTAAGGAATTCTTACACTTTTTTTACTATTCGAGTTTGAATAGTATAGAAGCTTACAGGTTTTAACTGATTAAAAGATGAGTTCTTGCATAATTAGCACAGATTATGGCCAATCATTGATTAATCAACCAACTTTGCTAAGATATAACAGACACAGGAAATAAGGTTTCAATAGCTGGACCTATAGTCTGCTCTGATCTTTTTATGCTACAATGGTACACAATAACTTAAGCTTTCAGAGAATCATTTTACTAGTCTAAAACATAGATTTTACTACAAACCCAAATATACTATTACTTGGCTTTGTGCCTTGTAATAAAATTTGCAAACAACAGCTTGAGTCAAGTTTACTTTATATATTTGTATTGTTCAATACAGCAAATCTTTTAGTATTATCTGTTGCAGTTTATATTACCTTGTGAAAATAACCTTGTATATTTTCCACGCCATTGAAAACTCTCCTTAAGAATTTCATATTAAAATAATATCATCTTGGATCCAACGTAATATCTTGCAATAAAATTACTTAGGACTAAGGCTGCAAAATCCTTCCCCTAACCACTTACTTGTCAAAGTAAATGTTCTTTCTCCACAAAAATGGAAAGTGAATTAATGCCAATAAATGTCCAACACCAAATTTTTGCAAGAAGTTTACAAGTGTCCTCTGCAAATCAGATGTCCAAAGGAGAAGCACAGAAACTCCAGTCATGCTGTCACGAATGAATGTCATGTCTGAGTAAGCAGCAGGGCCAAGAGTTTCTAATCACTAGTGATCTCACCAGCTCATAACTCAAAGGAAATGTACATAGCAGGGGCTGTTTTAGTCTTCCTCACAGCCATTTTTGTCTCATCACACAACGCATCCTCCCCAACAAAATAATGGCTACAAGGAAGACTACGGCTGCTTGAAAGCACAAACAAATTGAGAACTTTTCTTGAGAAGAGATTACCCTCTATGTGTAGAGTTCTTAGCATCTTCTGCTTATGACTGATGAGTTGCTTGAATCAAAACAGCAGAAACACACTCCTATCCATCTTGTTGGTAAATTCTACATGCTAATAAAGTTTTCCAAATAAGCTTCTGGTACATATAGTTGATGTTACCGACCTTGCACTCTTTCTGTTGCTTTAACGAATGCGATAGCAGCCAGTTCCTGTAACATAGGATAAATGGTTATTTTTTTTCTTTTACAGGCCACTTACCACAGGTTAAGAGTAAAGGTCACCGTTTTGTCCTTAAGGGTTTTCTGAACCAAACAGTTCCATGCATTTTAGATGGTAATATTAGGAGAAACTTTAGATTTATCTGTAGCATGGTGATCTGTGGAATGTGACTTTAACTTGAAAACCCACTAACAGCATCACCATTGAACTTTTCTTGTGTAATATTGGTAACGTTTCTGCTGTAAATTTTTAATACTATTACTTGTGGGATTTGTTACAGATAATTAATTCATTCTGTAAATCTATTAACAATGAAATTCCACATCTACTGAAACCAAAAATTAATACACCCAGCCAGATTATGGTTTTAAAATGTCTCTCACCTTACAAAATTCCTCTAAAACTATTGCAGCTTCAAGGAGGTTACTTTCACTAAGACTGAAAAACAGTAACCGGTTTGTTACTAAGATATTATTGGTAAATGGACCTTATCCATGATACCCACCATCTCTCCACGTGCTTTAGGATTGATGGGATAAAAGCAATGTCATGTGGTATTTCAAGGGGTAAAGAAGTGACAAAATTTGCCTATAAGGGTAATCACGGTCATGTTTGTTTATATTTCTATCAAAACAAGATGACAATTTAATAGTCATCATGTAAAATGTACAGTTCGAGTTTAGTCAAGATTTATGTTATTATAGTTTGCTGTGACAACACTGATGGTCGCTAACTGCAGAAGTAATAATGATCCTTTTCACCAACAATTGGCCATTATTGTCTTCAAGATGAAAAGTTAAATTCATTTTCTGTTGACTACAATAAACACACTCAACCGCGATTTCTTGTAATGACTTGCTTGCCCCCTGAGAAACCACATGACATTGCTTTTATCCATCAGGCCTCAGTCGTTCAAAGGCTGGATAGCACTATCGACCAGGGCCCACTTGTTTGGAGACCGCCTAATGCTAACACAGGGTTAAAGTTTAATCCGGATTTCTTTTTCTTTAGTTCAAAAGCATTTTCTCCGATAATTCTCTGTATCTTTTTAGAGCATCCAATTGTCAAATTGTAGACAAAAAGAATTAAACTGAATTTGCTTCTTAAGCGTTATTATCTGAATTCAAATTTTGCACTAACCCTGGGTTATCTTAACCCAGCTTTAAACAACCTGGCCCAGATAAATCACTATCCAGTGGATATATATTAGGGAAACCAATTATTGCACTACCCAGTGGACAGAGATTTATCCAGTGGATAGTGCTATCCACCTTTTGAACAACTGGGACCAACTGGTTCTTAAGCTCATGCTTAAATGTTGCATAAATACAAGCAGCAAAAAACCCATCTTTAATAACTTTCAATGCAACTTCTGTCCGATTTTCTGTAAGTTTAATACCAACCCAAAACTCTCTACCTCTAGGTTTATGATTTACTTCTAGAAATCTAAGGTCAGTTTTTTATTTTGGTAAATATAAATGTAATATCATTGGAAACTGAATTTGCACCCAAAGAATCTAGACTTATATTAACAGTTCGAACTAAAACAGCCTCAAGTTAATTAGTTTTTATAAAAAATCTCCTAAATCAAAAAACAAAACAAAACATATAACAATAAAAAAGTAATGACATTACTACTTATACTTATCGCAAGGCCTTACTAAGTAATGACAGTTAACAATTATTCCTGGAGCCCAAATGGGCTATTCACTCAGAGGCCATGAGGGCGAGAGGAATAATAAATTATTGTTTTAGTAAAATCCAACTAGTTGGTAAAAAATATTGAGACAAAACAACTTTAGCTAGCAAACCGCGATTCAGCCGCCATTGTTTTGGTTTTCAAAGTCGGCGCTTTTTGCTACTAGTGGGCTATAATTTATAGCCTGGAAGTAGCTCAACCAATCAGAACGCAGCATTGATAATAGATCACTAGTTGAATTTTACTAATATGTAATACCTCTTGTGCTCTGGTGACGTTGCAATTCCCATCAACTGCCTTCTTACAGACACAACATTCCGTTGAAAATTTGGAAGTCTTTGTATTCTACCTTTTAAATCTTGTACAACCTGCAAGTTCATGTGAAAGATAAACCTCATGATTAAACTGAGGAAAGGTGATAAATTATCCTCGTGATGTTAAAAAACAAACCTCTTTCAAAATGACTTAGTTTGCTTTATACAAGGGGTCATTTTAATAAAACTTTTACAAGTGTAACTTACAAGTGTAGCGATTGACTTCATTTTTGAAAACAATGACTACCCTTGTAAATTATAAACACTTGTAAAAGTTTGATTAATTTGACCCCAGGTCGTCTAAATCATCTTGATTTTTTTAGATGGCATGGATGATTATATGGAAACCTGCCTAAATTCAGACATCAGGTCTATCCAAGTGATTGTGATCACCTTAATTGTCAAAATTGGGCCTCGTGGCATCATACTAGGTGTTTTCCAGATAATACTTATTACTAGCCCAAGGAAACATAGCCTGTGGACACAGTCGTATTTCCGGTCGTCACTTCTCTCCACCCGAGAGTGGATTCAGGCGGAGAGAAGTGACAGAAAATGGAAATACGTCTGTGTCCGCCGGCTAAAGGAAACACAGGTAATTTGCAAGGTAATTTGGGGGATTCCTGTTGTGTTGGTGTTTTCATATATCTAGATTTGTTTGCCTTCAAACTCTACTTGGGGTATGATCCAAAAGATTATATGGAACCCAAGCTTTACAGGCCTTACAGTAAATGTATGTGTAAGATACTTGACACAGAATAAAGTCACGGAAGAGTAGTGTAATAATTTGAAGCAACTCACATTTTGAAGAGTGGAGTGCAGAGATCGACAGTCTGGTGCCAATGGCAAGGAAGCATTAAGAAGAAACTCTTGGAGCTGGGGATGTTTAAACTGACTCAATTGTGCTATTACACTTGTCACTTGTAGGTTCACATCATACGGCTGTTATAGAAGTTTAAAGAGCATAAAATAAGTTGAGTGAGGAATAAAAAAAGAAAAAAAGCAGCCGATAGGAGATTGTGCTAAGACTTTTGCAAAATGTCACTAGAGGCAGGGAGCAATGAGTGGTAGGCCGCTGTAGTGCATACATATTGCCTATTGGCTGGGTTTACTCTGTGAAGCAACTCTCTTGAGATATGTTATGCCAAACGCAACTGGAAGAAATGCTTTGCAGAAAAAAAAAATTTGTTACTTATTAAAAAATTTTATTACTGATCACTACAAACCTGATCTAGAAGTCTCTGTAGTTTCTTAAAGAGCATGTTTAAGAATGCACCCTCATAGAATACCTCTCTACTCTCCTGGAAATCTAAGGTGGAACATAAATCACAGTTATTTGGACCAAGAACAATAACATGTGACATCTACATTCCGGAAATATATGTTTACTCCTCTTAACAAGCTTCCACATGTGTCTTCTACTGCATGTTGTTATGTTGCTTCTCACTTTGAGAGCAGCAGGTAATACCTAGAAGTAAACTTCTTAGCGGACACAGGGTTTGCAAAACGTTTACAATTAACGGAAATTGTATTTGTTGCGAAAAAGGTAAGGACAAAACTATGTTTGTTACCGAAAATTTCTGGAGTCAAAGTGACTCCCTCCGTAACCTCAGTGGAGTCATCTGAACAATTTTTGTGTAAAATACACCACATTTGGCATATTTGCGAACCCTGGAACAAGTTGAATGTTAGGGAAACCCAGAAATAAGTGACTAAAATAGCAATTCCTTGATTGTGTAGTACTGCTTTTCACTTATAGTATTTTGAGTTTTTAGTTGTATAGTTTTAATCCCCCACTACCCCCCAAAAATTCTCCAGACAGATCTCCACAATTACATTTTCTTAACGAATAAGTTGAGAGAATTTGATTAAGATCAATGAAAGCATTTTCCTTTTGGTGATTTTTTTATCAATTCTCATATTAACCTTTTGTCTTGATTATGTACTGATATTGCTGGGTGAAAATTGATGTGATAACCACAGTCAAACCTGTACATAACTTCCCTGTGTATAGCAGTCATCCTGTATATTATGGTCACCGGACAACGTCCCAAAATTTTCAGTTGCCTTATATTTTCCGCAAAGTTGACGTGTATATAGCGGTCACCCTGTATACAACGGTCACCTTACCATTTCCCAAGGGTGACCGTTGTACACAGGTTTGACTGTATTTGGACTTAGAGGGTTAAGATATACTGAAGTGTCTTACCAGAAGGTGGGACTGGAGTTGATGGCCACTCAAAGGTGCTGGTCTGAATTGCACGTTGGTTGCACTACGAGAAGCAAACATTCAACACAGATGTATATTACTCACTATGTGACAGCTATCGTAGTAAAAAGGACAATTTTATTTTGCTTTTTTCAGGTATAGCAGTACCTGTCTATGTGCATCTCTTAGGTAAGTGTCATAACCAGTATCTCCTGTTAAAGCTGAGGTCTTTATCTCATCAGGTACTAAGGAAATGAAACTGATAGACATCTCTAGTTTAGAGAATGTTTCTTATAAGTTAAAATGCTTTAGTATAAAACAATATTCACATAATACTGATGATTTTTTAGTGAATGTTTGCTTTCAGTTGCAAGTGTGTCATCACTTGCATGTACAAATCACACCATTCAAAGGTTTGTCATTGAAGAACTCTTGTAGATGAATCAGTTGTTTTCTGTTTCATGATCAGATGGATGGAAAAGTTTGTTTATTCTTTCCATTTTTCAGTGAAATGACCCTGGCACACTCACTAGCAATTTACAGGTAAACAAAACTTGTATCCATGATAAAAACAAGCTATATTTATACTCATGAATCATAACAGTTTTATCGATATGTAAATTCTTACTGGTAAGCGCATGCTAAGGCTAAAGCCACTTTCCAAACGCCAGAACTAGCCGCTCAGACAGGTCATTTTGGAGATAAAATGGGTGTTTTTGGAAAAATCACTGCCATAAACACACACAGTCTTAAGAATACACTGATTCAGGGGTTTCCAATGACCATCTCCACATAACACGTTGAAAACACTTTTTAAATTATCCAGAGTACTTTAAGATCTCTAGAAATTAATGCATTCTAAGAAGCCCTATAAAATTTGTATCTGTTTGGTCGTTCTAAGGGAACTTGAGTCTTTTCAAAATTACCAGGGTTAAAGAATTATTTTCCAGAAAATTTTAGATGCAAATTAATGTTTTATGAAAGTGAGAATTTTTCTGATTCTTCTCTCCATTACATTTTGGAAGCATACAATTTTAGGTTTTCCTTTTTGTATGAAAAATAGCCTAATGTGGGGAGAGAAATGTGAAAAATTAGACTTCAGAAAATCACAGAAAATTAATTACATAAGATTCAAAAATTGTACATGAATGGAATGTTCATCTAGAAATTCTAAGCAGTTGTCAAGCAATAAAAAATTCTAGGCCATATTTGCTTCTCTGAACAAATATTATACAGAAAACAATCGTTGGGTGCCCCTGTTGATCTGGGACTAACGAGAGGCAGGTAAATTATTTACAATATTATTAATGTTATAATAAGAGTGTACCGAAGAAAAAGCAACACAAAAAGAATGTTGTAGTTCACCAAAATTTACATTATTTTGTACATGTACCTATTTACAACTTGTTCCACTTCATCTCTTTCAACATTTTCACCAATCTGTGAAGAACCCAGACCATCTGGTGTAAGTGGTGGAGTTGAAGGTGATGTTGGTGATGGTGGGATTCCTGTGTGAGGTGAAGGAGGTGCCAGTTTATCAGCCACTGAAGGTCCATTGCTTGTAGCACTAGTATCTCCATTGGGCACTGAGGGTGCAGTGTAATACTTCCTACTTTTTAGATTCCGAAGCACAAGATTATTCAAAATAACATCACAGGGTTTGTTGAGTAGTGTCTCGAACAGCTTCAGTGTTTCTATGCTGATCTACAACAGAGAATTAAGTGTCAATACTAATACAGCTTGACAGAAATTTCAATTTACACTTTTCCTCGAATTTTGCTTGCCGAGGGAAGTTGCATCCTTGTCTACTATAATTATTTATGATTTAGTTTGACATGACTTGTACGGGACTTGCCTGACAGGAAAATCTACCTCCTACAGGCATCAAGATAGGACTTATTGAGCACTGGCATTATAGCTGGCACTCAGAAGTGGGTTTCAAAAAATATAATCAGTTTAGGTGGGATTATTTTAGCCTTCTCCTGTTGTGGCTCAGATAGACAGTGTGGACAAAATTCCTGTGACTGCATCTAAATTAAACATCTTTCTGGCAGTATTTCATTGTTTTCAGCAAACTTTACAAATTGCAGTGATAATTAGTTTAATTAAAAGTTATTAAATTATTACTGCAGTTTGTAAATATGGTGAAAAACATCAAAAAATAATAATAAATATAGTCAACAAGATTTTATAGAAAGCTTACAGGGTAATAGTTAAAATGTTTGTAAGACTGGAGGAGACCATTGTCCATGTACAATATTATCGGAAGGTTACGTCCCAGAAACGATTTCTATAAAAATAAAAATGGTGTGACCAAAATGATACAAACTTTGGACCTAATGTGTTATTCATTTTATTTTATGATCCCTTCATTCCATTACCTCATCAGATAAGTGATCACATCTTTGGATTAGTGTTTGCCTTAATTTGTGGTCTCCTACATGAGTTGGAACTTCTGGTGTTATCCCCTCACCAAGGAGAAAGATGCACATTTCTAGGGAAAATAATTTAAAGGATAAGAAATTAGGTTTCAAGTTCCTTTGAATTGGAGTCAGGGTGATTCAATGTTTTGTTAACTTAACAAAAAACAACAGCTTACAGGGCCCACAAGCAGTTCAACGTAAATAAAGTCAACTGTCGATAACTTGAACCTTCAAGGGAAATCAAAAAAAGGTTCGAGTTATCGGCAGTTCTAGCCTATGTAGCTGGCAGGATTGTTGTGCCCGGGGTACCTTCTTGATACAAAGCAAGCAGGGAAGCTACGAGGGAAATCCCCCCTGCCACATTTCTCATGAGTTTTGAATCTGACTTGCTCCTAATCTTAATGAGGCTCTGCAGCTGAAAAACAAGTTAGCCTAATCCCACCAGCCATGCAGGCTACGGCAGTTCAAGTTATTGGGAGTTCGAAGGAAATGACTGGAAATAAATTGAATGTTTAGGACTTCAGTACACTGTTTTTAATTTCCAACTTGTCACATGCTTCAAACAGTGATTCAAATGAGTTATCGAGGGTTAACTTACGAAGAACCGATCTGAAGGGAAACAAAAATTACTTCAAGTTAGCAAGAGGTTCGAGTTATCATGGGTTCGAGTTACCGTGGGTAAAACTGCAATGAATGTATGAAGGAAATCCAGGGGAAATCGATTTTGGTTTGAGATAGCATGAGGTTCGAGTTATCAGGAGTTAACTGTATTATGGCAAACATTTTTCATTTTTGAAGGTAAGTTACTGGATTTGTTTCAATCATTATTGAGTAAGTGATTACAGTGCACGGTACCCACTAAAATAATACTTAGTGGTCATCAACCCGGTTGAGGGGGTACTCCGATACATTGCCTATATGGGTATGTGCCGCCCAAAGGGGTCGTGATTTTGAAGCTCCTGATTTAGAACGGGGTATCCATTTCAGAGGCGTTTTCTAGAATGGGGTATAATATTTCAAACGCACGAAAGCTCCACTTTTGCAAGCAGCCATTTGAAAGTATTCAAGGACAGATTGCTTCTAAAAATACGGTTCAATGCATTAACAAGCAAACCGTTGTACTCTTTGTTGCACCCTAGAACGGAGTATAGAAAATTGGCCCATTTCTAGAACAGGGTATCAGTTTTAGGGCGAGTTCTAGAACGGGGTATAAAAAATTGGCCCATTTCTAGAACGGGGTATCAATTTTAGGGGAAATTTTTTCTAGAACGGGGTGCCAATTTGGAGTCCCGGGTAGCACATACCCACCCAAAAAATACCCAAGTGCCCTTCCCGGGTCATCAACCAAAGATACACACACCTTGCAGTAGCTGTGGTGAGGTAACTGCCTGTATGCATCTTCTTAATAATGCTGTTATGGTAATAACACCTAGTTCTGACCTAAAATTGTACAACATACGTTAGGGCTGGCAGTCAATCAGACATTATTCAAATACAATAATATATTTCAGTCTACGACTATCAATGAAGGTAAACAGAGGACACTCAAAGACCCATTTAAAAAGTGAGTCCAGGTTAACCCATTCGCTCCTGGAGATTTTGCCGAAAAACGCGTTTTGAAGCTAGTCGAGTGGTTTTCTGGTCACTGTCGTGCTATAAAGAGCTAAAACTTACCACAAACTGGTTTACAGGTCGAAGACTTCGCGGCCTTCTGATCCAGATGCAAAATATCAGCTTTTACTTTTGGCTTTCTCTCCTCCCTTCTTTTTTCGCTTTTCGTGCCTCATTTTTTTTTTCTCTTGCTGGGCATTTAGTAGGCTTGATTTTGGTGGGAAGAGTTTTTAGGAAAGCTTTAAGGATCTTAGGATTAGGTGAAAGGAAAGGTAGGTGGGTAATGGAACAAGATTTTCATGGAGATTTTCAGGTCAATGTCACGTGGTTTTTTGCTTGTTTCTCTGGTGTCCTTGACTGAATTGTGCTCATTCTGGTATGGTTTGAAAGATCTCTTCACTCTGCACAAGTTAGCGAAGAAAGTTGTCCTTGACCGTTAAAACTGATGAAGTCACAATGGGTAGAAAGGACCTGGACCGCACGGGCGGTTACGGGCGGTTCAGGGGCGAATGGGTTTAAAAAAGGTTGACAAAATTACTATTTTTTGTCTAGGCTGTAGCCTTGGCCAAATTGAATGGCCTAGAATGTGCTTTGCTAAGTATAGGCAAACTTATCATTTAACATGGTTTAAGTTTTTTACTTCATGATTTTTAGGACCCTTCTGTAAACCAGTAGACCTCCTTGTTAAAGATAAATTTTATTACTATTATTATTTTCTTCTTTCTCCTTCTGTATTTTTACAGGCCATGATAATCACAACTTACTGTTGAAAGAGACCAGGTTCAATAACTGGTTGAAGAAATCTTTCCCTCACTCCTACAGCTAGAGCTTTGGCTACAAGCTATGGACAAGGGGAAAGGAGACAGATATCAGAAGAGTGGATCTGTGAAATCCAGGGTGTCCAGGAAATGATTGTTATAAACAACTTAGGGTGCTTTCCATTAGTCAGGACTGACCAGCCATACCGTTCCAGTAGTAATGAGAATTTCACTTTTAATCAAAACTATCCAACCAGATCAGTCAAATGCTAAATACTATGAATGAAGGAGATGTTTTTTCAGAAAAAAACTCCTGGGAAAAGCCTATTTCATTGTCAAAATGACTGCTCCAGCCATGGTCTGGCCTGTCAGTTCTGACAAATGGAAAGCACCCTTAGATTTCCTAGTTGCCCAAGGGCAGAGGTACGAAAAGTACCAGGGACCATGGGCAATGCTAAAGCACACAGGTTTATCAGTTAAGATCATAACTGTCAAGTGTTACCCTCTTGAAATAAAGGCGTCACTTCACTTCAAGTCACAACCCTACATTTAACCCTTTAACCCTTTAGGTCCCAAGAGTGACCAAAGTCAATTATTTCCTAACACTATTAACACATAATAGAGAGAAAGTGTTGTGAGAGTTAATAAAATGATCACGTGATGGAAATAACTTTGATCTACAAACAAAGTCTCTCACCTTATTCTTTAAGGAAATGTATGGAGATCAGTAAGGAGAATTTATATATGGATATTGGGGCTTAGAGGGTTAAGTCCTAAGAGTGTCCAACATCAATATTATTTTCAAGAGAAAGGTTATGAGAGTTAGGAATCACCAAAGGAAAAATGTTTTGGTCTTTGGAAAAATTATGTTGACTAATTCTGTAAGGAAATATACATGAAAATCAGTGTGATGAATTTGTATGTGGACATTAGAGCTTAAAGAGTTACTTCTGCATAAGAACTAACCAGGCTTTGAACAGCTTGGCCCATTTGGTTGCTTAAAAAAGCTTTCAATCAGTAATAACTTACTACACACACAAACACACCTTGTGTGCTTCTTTTGAGAGCTGGTCAACATAATCCAACCAGGAGAGAAAGGAAATTAACTGCCTCTTTCCAGGAAATGACAGCACATCTTCATCATCGCTCTGATGATCAAGCCTGTGGAACAATGGTACAGTAAATTTCTTGATCAGATAAACCCTGTTGTGCTAGTGGAGTCCTGATAGGTTCTTTACCTACAGTATCTATTGAATAATGGTGAGAGTACGGACAACCCTCACAGATTAGTAATTACTACATGCTAACTTGGGTTTCTATGGTCTTAAAACTTATGCACTATGTGCCTCAAAAGACCCCAGATAATCCGGGCAAGTTAAGTTCCTGTAAATAACACTTAAGAGATTGGCTGAAATTAAAAGTGTGTGCCAAAGATTAGATAGTTACTTATCAATGTTGATTAAACAATCAATCAATCGAATGATTGATCGATTGATCGATCAATCAATCAATCAATCGCTAAATCACTAGCAATTAATTGACCAGTCACTTGGCCAGTTGAAAAAATCAATGAATCAATCCATTCACAAGCCCATGATCTTCTACTTCTGAGGCTCTTCCAAAATTGATTCTAGAACGCCTAATCCTCTTCCATTAAACTTTATTCATTGGTTACGATACTAAGCAAATCAAACATACCCCCACTTGGCAGCAATAGCTGATATATCTATTGGCTCCATATTCTGGGGTAAATGTTCAAATAACACTTTCAATCTGTCTGCCTGTGAAAACATAAAAGAGATGTCGGTGATCAGATTTAATGTTGCTTCTCAGCTATTTCTGTGACCTAAAAACAAAAACAAAAAGCCAGTGAAAGTACTAATTCTTGCTAGTAGACAAAACTTGTTACTTACAAAGCTATGGTGGCTAACAAGTTCAAACTGCAGGCCCGGGTGAAGGTTCGGTAGGACTGTCTACCAGATAAATCACTATTCAGTGGATTTAGGAAAACCAACATACTCTATCAACTGGTTAGCATTATCCACCTCTTGAGTAACTTTGGCCTGGACTGTACTTACATGTAAGCTCCATTTATTTAAGTGCACTAGGGATGCATTAAACTAATAAAAATCATATTTCAGAGTACAGTTTTACTGTTATAGTAACAAAAATGTTTACAGATCCCTTCCATTGTGCTTTTAGAGACAGAAAGCTACAACCAAATTATTGTCTGTCACTTGTCACTCTGACAGGGTTACAGACATGCATCCTGCCAGCAGAGCATTTTTTTCGCTTGTTTGATTTCAGCATACTTGAGAAAGACTCTGCATAAATCAGGTAAGATCTTTGTTAAGCGTGCTTGAAATGTTGCTAGAATACAGTTTTGAACCCAGACCTAATAGCTGTGCGCTTGCCCCAGCAGGCATGGTTATGACCAACGGTTTATCAATAAACCGACGCTTTTACTGAAAAAAAAAACCAGTTTGACGAGGAACAACAAGATTAACTAGTCCAAACGTTTGGGCTGTGGCAACTTCAAAGGCTTGATGCGATTCACGCAGAGACACCTTTTCTCCTCCTTGACCAAGAAGACAAAAGGAGGCTTTTCTGGAAGGGTGGGTTACAGCTGCAAACAGTGCGCCTACAGTGTGCAAAGACAGCGTGTCAGATAGCCCGAGGCAAGTGGATTTTACTATTGGGCTAGTGAATTCTGTTCTTAACTTGCCTGCCTGACAATTGAAATTTTAAGGAATTGTAATGACAAAAGAACTGTTATCAACCCTGCTCATCATCTGGCTTGTTAAAATGACTTTTGGGCTAGTACATTCTAACTACAGCTTGCCTGAATGGCAAGCTGTAAAACTGACTTTCTTTGCACCCTGACTTAAGACAGAACAAATGAATTCTTGAGTTAATACCATTTACTTTTACTCCAGAACTTTCTTCCTAATTAAGTGTTTTCTAAGACTGGTAAAGGTAATACAGTAACATCAGCTGGATACTAACCATGACTTCACAGAATGGAGTATAAAGGATAATCACAGTGGCTGCATGGTCTTCAGGAAGAGATGCACAAAGCAATAGTCCTTCACATGCTTTCACAGCAATTCTACTGTCCTACAGGAAAAAAAACAACAATCAGTTAAAGTATAATGGCCCAAGGCCAAAACCAAAAAAGAACATTCAGTGTAAATCACCTCACTCTTGGATAAGGTAAGGAGAGAATTCACCAAGGTATAATCTGGCTTGTCACGTGCTTGGGCTTTAACAGGTGGAGGGTGCAACTCTTCTGACGGTGAATGGGTACCCGATGGACTTGTGCCTAGTGACTAAAACATTAGTTTAAAAAACAAATGCTTTAATTAATTTGTACCGGTATTTTCCGGTGATTTCTCCTATTGTAGTCCGAGCAATTAATGCTTGAAGAGTGATAGACAGTTCTTTTACTTCAAAGTAAACATATGCATCATGACACTTATTTTGCCAGGTGCAGTATAAGCAGTAGCAACTCCTTTAAATAGTTTACCCTTGTAGAAGGCTGGAATTAAAAAAAAGCTACAGAAATGGCTTTACACATCTGATAACTGTTATAGCTACAGGTGAACAATAAAAGTTATTTTGGGGGTAGCATCAGTATACAACTCACTGCACCAGAATTTTAATCAAGGAGAGAGCATTACCCAAAATATCACAAAAATTGATAATACTTTCAGGAGAACATTAGTTTAACTTACTTGTTAACATTTGTCAATAGTTTGCTATTCTGATTTCATCAGGTTGGTAGTTTTATTTATTGATTAATTTATAAATTAAATTAGAGTTTTAAGAAGAAGATTTAAGAATTAACAGTAAAATGCAGTTTCTTAACCTAAGCTGTAGTCTATTTCAATAACATTACCCGGTTTTAGTGTTACTCTAGGCAAGTGGGCAATAATTTTGTTATTCTGTTTTTTTTTTACCCTTCACAACTGATGTACATGTTATTGTCACAGACATCAGCCTGAGAAAACAGTGCACATTTCGTGACGCCACCACTGGTCTCCCTACAACACAAGTCTGAGGAATGAGCCCAGAAATTCCATACTGATGACGATCAAGTCACTACCCAGATCTGCGTAGCGCTTCTGATTGGACATGCTGCTAGGGAAATTTGCTTCAACCAACCAGAAGCACTACCCAGATATGGGTAGTGACACATCATCATAATGGAATTTCTCTGCAATTTCCACAGACATTGGTGACAGCATTGCAACATGTCAGCTGTTTTCTCAGGCAATACAGACATGCACTAAATGAACTTCAAGGCATAGTGCAGTAGCTGATGATGTCTTTGGTACTCTTGAAACTGACAATTTATTTATATGGTACTAAACACAGCAATGACATGAATAGCTTGTTTGAATGTTTCAATGGGCTCAAAGTCAGCTGTCGTTTTCATTTTTTTAGGGTAACACAGACATATCACTGTCACATTTTTTGTCACATTTTTATCACTGTGAAAAATTTTCACTGTTCTGGTAGAGATACTGTAACATGTCTTTCAAAACTATAACTACAATTTCCAGAAAACCAAGTGGTTAAAGGTGAGAAACATGAATTTTTGCCACCAAGGATGAGGCAAAAATTGGCAGAGGTAGACAAATAGTATAGACAAAGAGCACAGACAAAGATTAGGTCCATACCAGTGGCTCACCAGATGGCAAGACATGGGTAGTTCTAGCAGAGTTGGTCTAATAACAGGAAAAGAGAACACAGTTGACAACAGATTAAGATGGAATTAATTAATTTAATTTTCAGTGGACAAAAACCTTGTACCAGAACAATTTAAACAACATTGCATTCTTTTTTATATTTTTCAAGGGCTATAGATGTAATTAGTTATCTGTAATAACACCAACAAAAATTTTCTATTAAAACCCCGAGAAAACAAATGTCAAATTTGACAAAAATGACATCTTATTGTACACATGAAATTTTCAGAATTTTACTTGTGTTTTCACAATTCTTGTGAAATTAATGACATTTATTTTCTTGGGCTTCCATGAGAGACAGTCTTTGGTGTTATTACAGATAACTAATTACCAGCATATCTATAGCTCATGAAAAATGTAAAAAAGAATGCGACATTGTTTATATAAATTATTCTGGTACAAGGTTTTTGTCCACTGAAAATTAAAATTACTCAATTCCCTGATGGATTCCGTCTTAAATATTAAGGTGATCAGATTGACCACTTCTCAAATACATGTACTAGATGGTGTTGATGTCATGAATTGAAAGTCTCAATCTAATGATTAGATTGAAAAGGAACAGGGCAGGTCAAGTCATGTGTAGGTTGAATATGACCCTATGTGGGTCAGTGTAGCCCTAAATATAGGACTGTTGATGAGTAACCTGTATGAAAGTGACAAGTGATTATTTTGAGGAAGTGACTGCTTGTGAAAGATACATTATTGTTTTTCAAGATGGCTGAATCACTGTAAAACCAAGAGGGATGAATGTGTAGGGACAAGCAAGTTAACTCTCAATTGAAATTGAAGATAAAAAGAAAATTCAATAGGATATGCATTGAATTTCCCAACAATGCAAAGTGAGAGTGGAAGTACACACATAGAGTATGGAGTGGAAATGATTGAAGACAAAAAAGTAAACAGCAAATTAGGATGTTTAATGTTCTCTGCTTGGAATGCATACGACTACCTCATTACATGAAATTTTAGCGACACTTTAATTTAGCGACTTTTCTAAAAATGATCGCTAAATTTAAATCGTCACTAGATTAAATTGAGTACAATATAAAATTCAGTCATCTGGTCAGTTTCACACACAAACATGTATGCTATTTGATGGTCGATTATGATGTGTATCATCGACTTTGTGTGACATTGTACCTAAAAATGAGTGAGGACAGCATTAACATATGACATTACAGCTGCAGCCTCATTTGTTTTGTTCAAAATTAAATTTTAGAATGTTGATGATTTTGATTGAAATGAAGCTATTGACGTTTATGATTTTATCACATAAATGTTCCATTGTTGTAGTAAAAGTTTTGAATACCTTAATTCACCAAAGTTTCATTTTGTGAAATTGCAAAACTTAAGTGTCTTACATTCCAAAATTTACAAACAATCACCATATAAACCAGTGCCAATAAGGATTTTTCAAAATCGCTAAATTAACATGTCGCCAAAATTTCATGTAATGAGATATTTAATTTAAACTGTATTTTTATGAAGCTGATAAGTTTTATTGGTTAAGAACAAGATTAATAATGTATTATTACATAATGAAATTAAGACAGTTAAATTCTATTGAATGAATTATGGTGCTAGGGCCAGCATTATTAGTTTTTCACAAAAACAAAGCATTTGATTGCCATTTGAAATTAAATAAAATTAACTTTGTTTTATTGGAGCAATATACAAACAAACAAACAAACCAAAAGTATAAATGCGCTGAAAAAATTTTGAGTGAACGAGTGAAAGTAAGCTCAATATGCACAGTTCATATGTATGAATAAAGTAATCTCCATTACAATATTACTGTTAACTTGTACAATAAAATTGACTTCATTTTTACAGTAATATTATGACAGCTTGACCTGATGATGATGACGATGATTACAGACAAAGGTTTCGAGAAAGATCGTTACCAGTAAAATGATTGCAAACTCTGATTGGTAATTTAAGTAAATATTACGTAGGTTGGCCAAGAAAGTGGCTGTTGTAAAGAGCTTTAAACAAGAGTCATTGTTATGTTCCTAGACTTCCACTCAACTAAACAGGGACTGCCATTGTTTGATTCTTGGTCACATGGCTTTGACTAAAATCAAATGTATCCCAATCATGATACATTTGAGCATTAATTTTGTACTCTGCTCGGGAAACATTACAGCATGTATTCAAAGCATGGTGGAAAGTGGTGTGACAAGAGGCAGGAAAAACACTGCCAGTTTTCTTTTTCGTGAATGAACACAACAACACAAACACAAAGCCTCCAGCAAAAATGCATCAATTTTCAAAGTTATGCCAGAAGAGAAACAGTGGGAGGAATAAGATGCAGATAATATACGGAAAGAACTTTGTAAATCATTCATTCAGTGGTTTTGAGAATTAAATTTTTGTTCTTATAAGTACCGAGTCAACTGTTTAGATTTGCTCTGGTTATTCTTTTGTTGCTGTTAAAGTGAAAGTCTAGAAATATAACAAAACACTTAATGTCAGGTCCCTCGGGAAACCAGTCAGTTTTGTTTTCTCTCGAGTCCTGATGTGTCCCTCAAGACTTGCAGGAAACAAAATTGTTTCCCTCGGGATCTAACATTAAGTGTATAATGTAGCAACTACCCACCAAAAAGGTGGCTGTTGTAAAGGTGGCAGTTGTGGAGACGTTTCCATTAGTGGAGCTGTGACTGTATTACATCAAAGGTGATTGGTTCACATTGTAAATACACATGTACAAACAAATAAACAATGTATAATAATCAGCACAGCATGCAGTAACCCACCTCAAGGAAAAAGTTCACTAAGTATGGATCTTGTCGTAATTTTGCACACACAACACACAGAAACTGGATTTCTTCATTCTCAGATGGGGCAGCCTTGACTTCTCCACATAATCTAATCAATCTCTGAGGCGAAAAAGTTAGATAGAGGAGTAAAGCAAAAACTGAAGCCTGACAAACAAAATATCACGCTCATGTTAAAACTGCAAATACAATTGGACTTCACAAAATAAATATACTTTAAGCATTCTCACTTGTCCCAAGCAAATTACGTTGAGTGTCTCAGAAAATCTCTGTATGGATGAAGAGCCAACGGAAACTTCAGCAGGGAGCACGGTTATAACAATAAATAAATCTTTAAAAGCAAAAGATAAAGGGTGGAGTAGGGAACAGGCCAAACCTTTAAGGACTCCATGGGGGAGTATGGATTATTTTTGGTAGCAATCCATTACAAACATCAAAAGTTCTTTTACAATCATAATACATCAAGCGAAATTGCATCATCCTGAACTCACTATCATCCCTTAATTTAGGTCAGTTATTGTAATAAAATAATACTCAAGTGAAATAAAATGTAATGTAAAGGAGTAGCCAGTACTAGGAAACAAAGATTAAATTTCTTCACAGCACTTAAAGTTATGACCAAAAAATGATCAAATGTATGCTCAAGACAACATTGTTCACAAATCAAGAAGAGCATTCCTGGTACTTGATTCAAAGACAAAAAAATAACATCTGAGAAGTTAATTTGACGATTACCAAAATGTTGCAAAATGATAGGTTGTTCAGTTAGCCCTGGGTTATCTGCCTTCACGTTGTTGTAACCTAAGATTAAATATACCAGTAATTGCGGGCAACAAGAGGAGCCTGCAATCCTAATCTCCGGATTGCCATTACGATGCATCGCACGTATGTAGCCAGCATTCGTTTGGACTTCCACTAAGAATGAATGGAAGGCACATAACGCAGTTTGATCATGCGCTTTTGGACCTTTTATCACTCGTACTCTGATCATGCATGTTTGATCATCTGTCACATGAAATTAACGCAAAGCACAGCGTAACAGCAAGAGGGCTGCGTTTGCACCTCTGACTGTTGTCGCCCGCACTCCCTAACCTTTGGTTATTTCTAGTAATTACTGATATCTACCATGATTACTTACATGAACGGGTCGGTACACATTGACGTGTGGCAAAAGAGGCTGTTTCATTTTCGCCAGCAAATTTGCGAAGAACAGTAACACCTGTTGCTTCATTCCAGGTGGACACTGAAATTCACAAGAGAGAACAAGATCTTATAAAAGTAAACACAGACTGTACAATAAAAATTAAATCAAATAATACAATTTAATAAAAATATACACTGTAAACCAGAACATGCCTTCAATTTATTTGGGTATCTGGAGTCAGACCATTCCACTTAAAGGTCAGATTGTTCCACAATACTATAGTCGGAACTTTTTACAAGTTAAAGTCACGAGCAGAAGCAAGAGCATTACTCATGTATATACCTTGTTCTTCAAACCAAGAAGACAAAAAAGCACACTTGATATCAAATTTATACTGAAACTGTGGAACCATCTATGCTTCTCCTATACAATGCAATGATCTGGCTTCGGATGACCTGACCATGGAACGGGGTGACCATAAACCTTTATTCTGTAATCAAGCAATAGAAAACGTTTTCCATGTTTGCATAGCCTAATATAAACATTAGAGGGGTTGGGAGAATTCGAGACAGTTATGCAAACCCGAGACGAAGTCAAGGGTTTTCATAATTGTCGAGAATTCTCCCAACGCCTCTCGTGTTTATATCAGGCTATGCAAAAACAGGAAAAAAGTTTGCTATTGCTTTTATAAAACAACTTTCCTGAGAAAAACCGCAAAACTCTTTGTATGGCACTGGTTAAAAGAGAAATTCTTACCAGTCGCAAAGTCTTGTACACGACTGAGGTCTTGCACGCGTAATCAGTTCTTGTTTTACAAAAAGATGCTTTCCAAAATACAGATTTTTGTCGCTTAAAATGTCAGCTTAAGCAAAGAAAAATTGACACACCTTCTTTGTAACGATTTTCCAAGTTTAAGCCAACAAAGAAATGGGTAAATAAAGTAAACTTGTTGAGTTTTGAACTCGAAAACTTTTTCAAATTCGTGCTTGCGAGATTAGCGAGCGAAAAGCAAAACATCTTGACACCACAACCATGTATACATACTCTCATGCAAACACTCCTCTCAGCCAATCAGAGCGTGCATACTATCTTAGTTATTTTGTAATATCCTATGTACATGTAATGAAATTTAAGCAATACATTACTGTAATTAATTTATGCGGATAAAATTAATATGTAATCATAGTTCTGCTCAAGAAATTTAGGAATTATTTTACATATTGTTTAAGTATTTGGAAACAAAGTTAACTCTTACATCTGCTCTTCCAAGTGTGTGAAGGGTGTCTAAAATTTTATGCTGCAACAAGTACTCCAAACAAGGCCCCTATTAGACATAAAAAATTTCACATAAGCTTATTTTACCAGCTTGTGTAGAAGGAATAGACTGGATCAGAAATTGAACTGGAAGTCACTGAATCTGTGTTCCTCAATAAGAGAGCTTGGCTAAAACAGAAGCAGTCTAGCTAATAAAACACCAGTTTTAAACCTATTGTTCATGACATTAAGATTGCCATTCATTCAATCAGTCATTCCTATATCATTAATTTTATCTTCCTAGCTCTAGCCTGTTCGTTGTGTTCAGATAGTAGAGTACAGCATTCAGATGGTGGGGAGCGAGTTAGACCATACACAGGGAAAACCAGGTGGAAAAACGAGAGAAGACTGGGGCTAGATCGAAGGAACCTTCCCTCCCCTTTTCCCTACATAGTCTCCCCTTATTTTATTTTCCTTGTCAATTTTCTGCCTGCGCTCTACTATCTGAACACCTGGAACAATCTCGCCCCTATTGAGTCACCACTGAATTTTACCCTTCACAACTGAGCTGTTTAAAACCTGGTTTGCTCTAATCCTGGTTTGACGAGGAAGCAGTGGCCCACTAGCACCACTGCTTCACATTTTAAAACAATGCTGTCTGTACATAAACACTCATCTGCGCCATGCATTGGTTCCTCTTTTTTTATACAAGTAATAAGCCGATTGCTTTTAAATTGACCTTTTCGCAGAAATAAGCCTTCTCTGTAGAATTGTACGCAGCCTCTGCCGTAAAAATAAGCCTCCACTGTAGAAACACCCCTCCTCTGTAGAAAAATCCCTCCTCCATAGAAATATGCCTCCTACGCAAAAATGAGCCTTTTTCATGGAAACACACTTTTTTCCATGGAGAAGAACCTCTTCCATACAAAATCGCAGAAAAATGATTCCCTGTGGAAATGAACCTCCTCAAGTCCTTAATTCCTGCAACCACTGCCTGCCACTCACCCCCTCTCCCCCCTAAAAAACCTCCATCCTCCACCACACCACACCCACCAATCGTCTTCAGGGTCTTCCCGTTAAGGCACCAAATTGGAAAACGAAAAGACCCCCATGAAATCAACGTACTCCTCCGCTGGGTCTTTCCCGCCATTTCCTGTAATAATTTTGATTATGGCCAACTTTATAGAGGGAGTGTAGGGAATCTTTGTGCACACTTGTTTAGGAAACTCCTGCAACTCTTTATAAAAGAAAAAGCTAAAATTTTCACAAATGCGTTCCTTAAAATCACACTTCTAGCTTCAACCAGAAGAGAATCGAAATGCTCTGTGATTGGTTACATTCAATATCAGAAAACAAGAATTTTCAATCCGTGATGCGTGTTTCTACAGAGAAGGCTTAACAGACGAAGTCAATTTATAAACAATTGGCTTATTACTTGTATGAAAAAGAAGAACAAATGCATGGCGCAGATGAGTTTTTATGTAGACACAGAGTTGCTTTAAAATGTGAGGCAGTGGAACTAGTGGGCCACCGTAGCAAACAGATTATATGAGTTGTCATGGTAACTAACTGTGGAATTGTGCTAATTGTCTTTCAAACAACTCAGTCCAAAAAATACGAGTCTTTCCCCTTCAGAAGTGACTCTTGAAAACCTCCTCCCTCCTGGGGACATGCAGACAATCAATGTTTAACAGCCCAATAACCCACGTCTGTCCGCATTGCCAGTGAGCTTGAGTGACATAATATTTTCTAGAGTCAGTAGGTGCTAGGAACTTTGACAATAAAAATTCTAGCCCTTCCAAATTACTGTATTTTATTCGAATAGGCGTCCAACCTCGAATTAGCACCCACCTCAAATAAGCGCCCATCCTAAAGGCAGAAAAAGTTAATAGGCGCCCAACCTCGAATAAGCACCCACCCCCTTCTCCTCCCAATCAAACTCAAATACGCACTCACCCCCACCCCACCCACTTGAGTGAATAAATTCTAATAAGAGACTTCCCCGAGGACGGAGTTTTCCTCAGAGTATTACACAGAAACCTTGCTTTGATACTTCTTCGCGTTTTGTTGCAAAATAAACATACTACACTTGCTGAAAATGGTGAAATTTAATAAGCGCCCAGCCTCGAATAAGCGCCCACCTTGAATAAGCGCCCACTCTAAAGGTCCAAAAATTTAATAAGCGCCCAGGGCAGTTAATCGAATAAATACGGTATACCCGGTATTATAAGGACAGGAATACACTGTAGATAATGAAACACAAGGCTGCATGACATGACATCAAAAAGAAGGAAGAGTGTTAGCACTAAGCCATATAGCATAACCGCTGCCTGGTTAGTTCAGTTGGCAGAGCTCCAGTCTGCTGAGTGGGAGGTCGTGGTTTCAAACCCCAGCCGGACCAACACTCGGGGTCTTTAAATAACTGATGAGAAAGTGCTGCCTTTTCAATGACATCTGCAAACAGTTAGACTTTCTAGGATGTAGATCCTGGTGATGTAGCCAACCTCTCCTGGGCCGGTTGGGTTATCTGTAATGACACACTCAAATTGGAGCTCTGCTCTGTTGTGTGTTCTACACCATATGGTGAAAGTGATTAATGATAGATAAGCATTACTTTTACATTTTATAGCACATGCATGAGCCAAATTAAAGATAAAAGATACCTACGAGATAAACAGAAATAAAATTACCACCGGCACTTTGATTTTGGAATTAAAAATATATTATTAAAAGATTACCGTTGCACCCCCATTCTGGTCATCTTCTTCATGTCGTAAAATGTCCAACATTTGTTCCAAGTGATATGGAATATTAGTGGACTGTACGGGAACTTTCTCATCTGCCAGACACGAAATTTATATGCATAGGTAAACCAATTAAACACGTAAGCATGTGTAAATAAACACAGAACAAGTTACATGAACTTGTACTACATAACAACATTGATTTTAATGTTACCTGTGGCCTCTATAAAATAATTAGTGATAGCTTTCCAATGGAATACAAACGTTTCTTGTAGAGGGACATCAGGAGCAAGCTGAAATGTTTATTATAACAACTTATTTTGAATATTTAAGAAATTTGCAGTCAGGAAATCCTCACAACTGAGATCCAGAAAATAGAATTTTAGCGAATGATCTCTGTAAATGGTAAAAATAAAAAAACTCACCGCTTCTACAGCCTCATGGATAAAAGATCTTATTTTATGAAACATTTCTACCGAACCTGTAGGAAGAATTAAAAAATATTGTAGCTATAAAAGCTGTAAACCACTTTCTCTTGTCTGCGACATTTGAGCGCCATTTTGAATTCAGCTGTTTGCGCATGTTCAGTCGGTCGCACTAGTATTAGGAACGCAATGCGTACAGAGCGCTGAGGAGCGTCAGGAGCAAGCTGAAATGTAAAATCTTTCTTTAGTAAAATCCATCTAGTGGTCTATTATCAATGCTGCGTTCGGATTGGTTGAGCTACTACTAGGCTATATGTTATAGCCCACTAGTAGCGAAAAGTGCCGGCTTTTTGGCGGCAAAAAGTGATTGAAGTCTAGCTTTAATTAGCTAAAGTTGTTTTGTCTCGATATTTTAGACCAACTAGTTGGATTTTACTAAAACAATTCAGTTCCTCTCGCCCTCATGGCCTCTGAGTTCAATAGCCCATTCGGCCTTCGGCCTCATGATCTATTTACTCAGAGCCCATATCGTTCGGGCTCGAGGAAAAAATTGTTAAAAAACAGTGTCAGCTTATTGCATTATTTTCCTCGTATTTGCACATAACACCACCCTGTTAAAGTTATAGCAGACGGATGACGAAACAAAGACAGGAGTATTGTTATGAGTGTAGCCCTGGAACTCTTTACCTAACTCTGTTACGTCAACTTCCAGTTTGAACTCTCTTAAAACTCGAATACTTAATTATCTTTGTAATCAGTCAAATTTTATTTATTTCTTACTAGATTTGATGCTCTTTTTCTTGTTAATTATTTAAGCAGTTCCTCTTGTTTCTTTTTTTTCTTGCAACAGTGAAATAATGTACAGTTATTTATTAGATATTCTATTTTTAATTGTCTTATCTTTTAGTTTTGGGGGGCTGTTTTTTTATGGGAATTCAGTTTCCCCCTGCCTATTGCTTTCCTTTTCCTACTGTACTTTTTTATATATATATATATTTTTTGTGAGGATTTCACGCATGCACGTTGCCACGTTGCACACTTCGCTGCACGCACGACACAGGTGTGAAAACGAGGCGCACATACGGGAAATTGGACGAGCGAAGCAGGCCTGGGAGCGCAAGGGAGCGCAGTTGTTTGCGCGGTAAAGTTGGAATGCGGAGCCAATATGGTGAGTAACTTTTGTCTGTCCTCTATATTTAATGCGTTATTATAACTGTACAGCTTTATTTGCGTATTGTTGCTCAGGAAAATAATGCAAACAAACATAAATAAGCCTGAATAAGTCACTAGGCCGATAACAGATCGATTTCCGTCAGATCAATCGTGCATCAGGTCAGACTTGCCTGCATCCCGGCTGCACAAGAGGCAAAAATCTTGAGGTTTGAACCTAGATGAGAAGTGGAAACGTCGTGAGGTGATGGGTATCTTTAAACCTGGAGTAGTAAACATGATCTATTCTCTTCGTGATTAGCAAGTTTGCTCAGTGGCGCCCATCTTAAAATGAGAGATTCGGTGAAATACCGATTCGGTGACCGTCGACGGTGTCGGGTTGCAGTAGTGTTGAAAACCATGCACAATGTTAGCAATATTCACAGGTTTACTTATCAAACGCTTCCGCTAGGGATTTTTTCGATTGTGTTTAGCATTTAAGTTGGTAACGAACCCTACCGCAGATGATTTTGTGGAGTGTCGCTTTTCGGGAAAGCGCGAAAAATCAGTTGTCTTTGGACTGCAGGGAACGCAAGCTTTATGAGTCATTGACCTTTGGAACGTAATCTGAGGGTGATCTGGGGGAGAAATATGCAATTCTCATTCTCTGATGTTATAAAGTTTACTGCAATCAAGAGTGTCTTTTGGCTTTTTTGCATACTCACTTTCATTGTCATTGTCTCTAATCATAACTTCTGCAATACCAGGATTGGCTGATCCCAGTTGTCTCTTTTGCAAGGAACAGGCTCATCATCACTGAGATTAGTCCAGGTCAGTGTTTGATGATTACGAGGCTCGCTAGGACTAGGTTTCTCTGCTTGATATAAGTTTTTTGTGTTATAATCAGTTTGTAAACCTCTCCTGTAATGCATCAGTCAATTCCAGCTGTGCCCAGTGCCCCCCTGGACTGGCCCCTGGGCATTAGCATTTTTTTTGCCTTGGATGGCAAATTCCCGGGGGTGGGGACTCTTGAGCTGTCAAATCCCCCGGGTGGGGACGAAAAAAGAGGGCAAATGCCCCGTCCTCCGTAAACACTGTAACATTTTTCATTGATCACATAGTCGAATAGTGCCATATTAAGCATTTTATTGTGAATTTTTTGTTTCCGTTAACGTCTTCCTTTGTAATAGCGCTATGATTCTAATTAAGACTTCATGCCACAACGACATGCACCAGTTTATAATTTTGGTATTGATGTAAAAGTATTGCCATTAAAATAATAGAGCGCTGTCAAGTTATATGTTATGAATAGTTTTATAAATATGAAAGGATGTCCTTCAGATAATATCAACAGAAATTTGATTCAATAACCAAAAAACGTTGATTCACGTCAATAGCTCCCGATTTCGCTATGTAATTCTGGCTCGATAAGCAATGAAGAAATGCATGCATAAAATCAAGAACATGCCTTAACAAACCTCTTCAAATTTTCCTGTCCTTGACAGATGAGCCAATCTGCTTTCTTTCCCAGTAAAATCCTCTGTGTAGTTATTTTCTGATAGGAAACTGTGTGTGTGTCAAAAGCTCAGGAATGGTCCCGGGTTGGCAAACGCCTGGCCCCCGAGCAGCACAAAATTTGCAAATGCCCCACCCCCGGGACTGACAAGACAAGATTGTGCTAGTAAAAGTGGCATATTATGCTAGTGGCAGTGCTCGTTTTTTGCCCAAATTATGCTCAAATTATGCTCGCTTTTCAAAATTATGCTACTTTTTTAAAAAATTATTCTGTGCACAAACTTCACAACTCACAAGACAAGTTTGAAAATGTATTTTATTAACCCTGGCCAGACGTTCTGGGCCCGGTTGTTCAAAACCTGGGTAACTTTATCCGGTGGTTGGGCCTATACGGCGAATAAATCTGCTATCCAGCGGATAGTTATCCAGCGAACAAAAGTAGGTTGCACAAAGCCTGGATAGTGTGGTGGATAACTATCCGCGGATAGCTTGCTAGTTGCTAACCATCGCGTGTAGCAGAGCGTGACACAGTTTGCGCAAGGTTTTGCACTCAAATGGCCTCCAGTTACCATGGTAAAGTATGCAAATTTCGGGTAAACAACGAACTGTGCGGCGCTAGCAACAACGAACTGTGCGGCGCTGGGTTTCAAAACAAATAAAAACAAATACAGTGAAAACTTAACCATGCAGTTTCTGACAAAGCCCTGGATAACAAATTTAACATTGAATAATCTCGCTCGTTTCTGAACCCGCAGTCCGGCTTGACTTCTCTAATTCGTTCTCTAACAGTTAATTAGCGCTTGTTATATTGAAGCATCACACTTGCTTGCAAGTAATCTGCAAGTGCACACGATCTTGTTGATCGTTGAATGAAGCTGCCAGGATGCTGAATACTCTCTCGGCAGCAGGCGATGGTTGGACCAACAGTATTTTCTTCACTGCCATGGACCAATTTGGGAGGCGGTCTGCATGGGCCTGCCACCACTCCACCTTCTTTTCCTCTTGTTCAATGACCACATCCTGAGCAGCAGCGGCGTACTGTGGAAGCTCTCTAATTAGGCCATTGATAGTTGCATCATTGTCGAGGAAAGGGAAAATCCTTAGGGCTTCTACTGTGGCGGGTGTAGGCCTCATCCATTGAAGCGGCAACTGGACACATGATTCTTGCAGCTTTGAAGGCCGTGGCGGTGTCATAGAGCTTCACGTTAAACTTCTGCGAGAACCAAAGTATAGCCGGCTGTACACAAGCTTTTGCCTTCCGTTCTAGATCCGCGGCTCTCTGAGTAGCATCTTCGTTGGCAATTGCGGCAGCAACTGCGCGTACATTAGGAAAGTGCGGAGCTTGGCATGCCTCGGCGACAGCCTTTAACTTCTCGTAGCATGAAAACGCAGGGGCCCGTCACCTTCCAAGTAGTATGTAGCTTTGACAAAATGCTCTCCTACATCAATGGTCACAGCCAACTCGAGCTTAAGATCGACAAGGCGCTGAGGATCTGAGAGTATAGCTCGAAGCTGTGCCACAATCTTTGGAGCAATGTTCTCTACTTCCGCATCATTCAGGAATCCAGCAACGTCTCCAAACTGCTCCAGTAGCTGCCTGTAAACTTCCCATTTTGACCACCAGCGTGTTTAAGCTATCGATTTCGGCTTTTCGATCGGTTAGATCCTGCCATGCCAACTTTGCTTTATGGCTGTGACTGAATAAGCGTACCCACAGGTTTCCAAACTCCAAAAGAGTAGGAATTTCCAGATGTTTGCCAACATTATCGGCGTGTGGGGAAAAGCAGACAATGTTCAACATCTTTGGGAAGATGAATGCTATCCGATCCAATGCTGCTTGATTGACACTTGCTCCATCCCTCATCGCTGCAAGCAAAGAGTTCGCCTTGATCCCAAATTCAACATAAAAGGGCTTCGTTGAGAACTCTTGCTAGTTCTTCTGAATTCACCGACTTTGAGCAAATGTCAATTCTTATAAGACGCTGTGTTATCATCCACTCATCATTAATAAAGCGAAGGATTATCGCAATAGCCTCACCTTGCCTGGTGCTCCCGTCAAATATTACTGAAACGTCCCTTGTCATATCTTCTCCTGGCAAAGACAGTTCCTTCTTTATTCTCTCAACTTCTTGCTTGAAAATAAGAGAAACATACTGTCGAGATGCGCACTATGAGTGAGGCGATACCCATTTTTCTCTAGCAAAGGGCGTAGCCTGTCTACCTTCGATTGGAATCCCTGCTTTCAAAAATTCCTCCACTACTTCCTGTCGGTATGCTTGCTCAGCCAACGGCAGCGTGTTGTCTTTCTGAGTCTTCTCTCTGCTGAGTGCCTCGGCTATCGTTTGTTCTCTTAACCTTGATCTCTTCAGCGCATCTTTCCCTTTGGCATGTTTTCTTGAACTACAATGTGATGCTAAAATGCTCTTTTGGATGATACCATTTCTCTGCAGGCATTGCAAAAGATCGTTGTGCCTCTGACACTCAGGTGCTGATCAGGGAACTGATTAATACGATCTTGCAAAGGGACATTTTTCACATTAGTGACATTACTCGTCCCCCCTCCTCTTGTATTTTCCAGTGGTGGATTCGAGGCGTCTATCCCGGGCAAGTTGTGCAGGCTTTGGTCTATCCTCTCTGTTCTCGCAACCTTGTAAACTATCTGGATGTAAGTTCACTGCACTTGACTGGTTTGGCGTGGCGGCCGCCATTTTGAAACGAGCACTGGGAGAAAGACTAAGGAGTCTGGGACCGAGACACAGACTTCCGGTTCCGTTTCATCGAACTCCCGCGGTATCTCAACACAAGTAAAAAAAAATCGAAAAATAGGAGTGGAAGCAACTGTTAATAGTAATCTATCGTTTTTAGTAGCTGAGATCTTCGTTTTCTTGAATTATTCTAAAATTGTGCTATTAAGACAAGAAAATATACGGATTATGCTAGCAGTGCTGCTTTTGGAAAAAGGGCAAAAATTATGCTCAATTCCTCAGATTATGCAAAAAATTATGCTAGCACAATCGGCAAGAGCCTAGCAAATGCCCCGCAGTAGCCCGGGGGGGGTGCTGGGTGCAGCTGGAATTGACTGATGCATAAATATTGTGTGAAAAAAAACCCTCAAAGTTGCATCGTTTGGAACATTCTCAGTGTAGGTTCAACAGTACTGCTGTCAAAATCGAAATCTTCATGAGTAGAAATGTTGCAAACCCAATCCTTCACTCTCCCTGACTTTCTGGTTTTCCTCATCTGAAAATAGACGAAACACCACTTTGCCTTCTGCGTTCTCTGAGCTATGAAGATGAGCGGACAGCAAATTCTTCCTGGAAGGTGCTCCTGGGAATTCTTGGTGGGGGTGTGCTGCTTGGTTCTTTAAATCCTGACCCGCTTTCATACCCAAAAAATGTAATTCTTCACACCCATTTTCAGACTAGACCTCTAAAATCCATACCCATTTTCAGGCATGTGAAAGGGGTACCATTTGCCAATAGAAGGTATACGGAAGGGGTAATAATAATAATAAATACATTCTTATATGGCGCATTTACAAAGCTCAATATGCCTTGCAATGATTTACAAACAGAAGATAAAATAAAAATCCCTGTCTAATGTAGTTCACCATAATGTTTACTGAAATAAACAAGCTTTCCTAAAAAGATGAGTTTTCAACTTGTTTTTAAAACAGGTTACGGTCTTGACATTCTTAATGTCCGCCAGTAGGGAGCTCCACAATTTCGGTGCCACAAAAGAATAAGCTCTACACCCGTAGTTTTCAGTGTTAGCTTTTTGAGGACAGAGAATGAACGTGATGCTGATCTTAAAGTTCATGATGGTTGATAGATTTCAATTGAAGTCTTCAGGTAGTTTGCAGACTGGCCATGTATAGTCTTATACGTTATGAGGAGAATCTTAAATTCAATCCTCTTTTCAACTGGAAGCCAGTGCAAGTTCTTTAGTATAGGCATTACATGATCTGAACATTTTAGGCCAATCACAAGACATGCTGTGGTATTCTGGATTCATTGGAGTTTATCCCTTTGATATTTAGGAATACCGTACAAAAGACAATACAATAGTCCAATCGTGAGATGACAAGAGCATTATCTAACATTTTAAGTCCGTCTAGCAAGAGATATTTCCAAATGCATACTATCACACTGGGGCGAGACCCACCCCTCGCGCGATCATTTTTTTCATGAATTTTTAAAACAATATGGCAGCATTTTGCGTGCAATGTCTCATGGGGAGCACCATATCTCTGCGATCTCCTTTCGAATAGGTAAAAGAGAGTCCAACTGTGAAGCCTGGGTACCACTGAAGAGCTATTGACCACCATTTTTCCATTTTTTTCGTTTTCTGTGGTTTACAAGCTTTAGTTTGGTGTGTCATTTGCCCATGTTGTGTTTTCTTTTTTAAACGTAATGGAAGAGGAAACTGTACCGTGTTTGGAGACTTGTCATTCTCTTGAGGCATCCAGGTTAGTGAATTATACGCCTAATTTTTCAGGCATTTTTGAGCACATTCAAAAATTCTAAAATCATGCAATTTAAGTTCATTCACCATATAATTTGTTTGTGAACAAAAAGTCTATCTTTTGTCTTCCGCTTCAAATTTAAAACAAGCCCTTTATTTTGCTTTCTGACAGTTCCATTCAGCGAAAGAAAAAGGCACGTTTTGATATAGGCCAGTATCAAAAAAAGTTAAAGCACATGAAGCAACACAAACTTGAAGCACTGGTAAAAGAAAAAATAGATAAAGAAAATGTAATAGTAGAGCTTAAGAAGAAGTCACAGTCACTTTCCAACAAGATAAACTACAGAAAGAGAAAATTAGGAAGGTAGCAAGGTAGTGATTTCGCTTGAAAATGTTTAGGAACTGGTCATTTTGTGTGGAGAGGGGAGAGAAAAATTTTAAAAAGGTTTGGGAGGGGGACAAAGGATTTTTATATAGGGGACCTTAGTTTTTATTAAAATCATTAAAATATCACTGAAACAAGACATAAACTTCTGGCAATGGTTTAAAAAAAGGTGACAATGTATATTAAAGTCATAGAACTTAATTAGGAAGACATCAGATTAACTGTGCAACAAGATAGACTATAGCAAGAGGAAGGTAGGAAGGTAATGATGCTTTAGGGACTGGATATTTTGTACGGAGAGGGGGGATGAAAAATTGTTAAAAAATGCGGGGACTCAAGTGTTTTTTATGTGGGGGTTGTAGTTTTTGTTAGAATATTTTTATTCAACAGTGGACAGAGATTTTCAATCTAGTAAATGGCTAGTTTTCAATTTCATTGTTTCACCCAACATCAATAACCTTTTGTATGATTTTTGCACGTAGATTCATGTATTCTTCATGGGATGGAAGATTTTACTTAAAATAAAAAAAGAGGAAATTTTTAATCATTTCCTTAAGTTTCTTATTCTTTTATGGCTTGGTCTCTGGACTCAGTAATGTTTTTAATAGAAGAACTACAACCAGCAAGCAAGGTTCCAAGACATCCAAATATCACAAGATATTTCACTTACAGATTTACAGGGAAAGAATCAAAATGCTTTTCCTGGAATTTTGGGCATGTGACAGAAACACTGCTACAAATGAAACCTGACAGGAACACAGCTTTTAAGGTACATGCTCTTCACAAAGCTGCTGAAAAATTGCGTGATAGTGTCTCCCTTTTCAGTAGGGTAAGAATCACAGAAGAACAAATTTTGCAGTTGGAGAAATCTTGCATGGAATATTTCAATGTGAATGCTCTGTTTCTACAAAAAGTCAACCCTACAGTCTGGACAGTTGGATATAATTGTTCCTTTGCACACCAAAGAATTGTTTCAAACGTTGTCATTTGGGTTGGGACTAAACACAATGCAAGGGCGTGAAGCCAAACATATCAAACTTAAAAAGTACATTGAAAATACAACCAATGTTCAAAAGAGTCAAAGGTGGGAGCATGTTTTCCGACATGAGCACATTGCAGTAGTCTGGCTTAGAGACCTTGATCCCCACTCAGCAAAGTACAGGAGGCAAAGCTTGGAAGGTCAAGCCAAAGGAGTTGAAGGGGAATATTACATTCCAAAACGGTGTAGAGAGAGTGATTACTGCTTCTGTGGTCTTCGCAAACAGCAGTTAACAGACAGTAAATGTTCTATTTGTGGGAGTGACTTAATGAGGTGGATAAATGAAAGTATTGCTGCAGGGAAAATATTACCTGCAGTTAAGCAGTATTTGACTTCATGACCTGTTACTTTGATTAAGTAGTGGTGAATACAGTTGCATTGTAAAAATGTACGTCCTGTTTAAAGTGTAGAGTTGAAAAATTCAATCTCTTGTTAAAAATCACATTCTTTCAACCCTTTAACTCCCAAGAGTGACCAAATTCAAACTTCTCCTTACAATAATAATACCCATTTACAAGGAAAGGCCATGAGATTTACTAAAATTATCACCAAAGGGAAGTCCCTTTGACGTTGTCACAAATTCTCCCAACCAATATTAAAAGGAAATGTATGGGGATCAGTAGGGAGAATTTGTATGTGGATATTGGGAGTTAAATGGTTAAAGAAACCAAAAAAAATTCATCTGTTCACTTGTTCAAATTTGCATTTTATTCCATGCATTTAATTTTTTTCTAGTCTATAGCTTTTACTCTTGAAGACAACAGTAACGGTTTGTTGAAAGCTTAGTTTTTTTTGCGAAAACTATGTATTTTTTAATTCGAATCCTGGTTATATATCTTTTTTGTGTAGATTTTACAACCATAAAGCATGCCTGTGTCAACAGGGAAACATGTTATGGATATTGTAAAACAAAATCCCAGTGTTCAAAGGTATATGACTGGTGTTAGTCACCGAGGACATTCACAATGATAATTTATTATTATAATATCAACAGGAAATCCAGAACCACAACAACATTTTTATTTACTGCTCAACAACGAGGGTCTTCTTGGTACATACAACTGTATGTCAGAGATAAGCAATCATGACTGAGTATCAATCAGGCTGGCTACAAAATGTATTGTTATTCATCCCTCTTGGTTTATATTTGGGCCTGATGTACTGTTATAATTGGAAATGAAATAGACCTAGAAAACTCAGACCCCTTCAAACCTTCTCCATTTAATAGGGTGAAATGTTATAGTCAATAGACTGTATTTGCACAATGTGAATTCTTATATCATTGTAAGATAACAATCACCCTGTCTCCTAACCTTTCATGATACCTTTCAATTTTTAAATTTTTTTATTTCAAATTTAATTCCAGTAGCCGTAATGGAAACTCACAGACAAAACTTCTGAGTTCTTGCGATATTTTAATCCCATTGGCTTTGATTCTGTTATGACAACCTCACATCTCTCAGCTGCAACCTCCTTTCCAGAAAAGTTTTTTTTCAGCAGTTCTGCTTTGGCAATCAAATCGCCCTCCAAGTTCATTTTATCAACGATAAACACAGCTTTCCTTAATTGTGTCAGTTCAACATCAATTACAGCATCTGATTCTTTATATCTATGTCCATAGGAGTTTCGTTGAATTATATGGTTTAGAATAACCGGAAATACCTCCCGGGGAAGATCGAGGGTAAATTCTCCTTTCCATGGTGTTGCCATAGAAGCTGTGGTATGAAGCCTTCCGTCTATTTTCTCATCGATCTTCTTCAATGCATTTATGACCATTGACTGTGTACCAACTAGCTGTTGTACCTCTCTGTTCCTCGACTGATCACGATATTTTTCCTCCAAAAGTCCCACTGCGGCTTCCACCTCAATAAAGAATTTACTAATAGAACTCATAATTGCAGGATTGTCCGTTTGAGATAGTCGTAAACATTTCTCTGTAGAAATCTGTAAATTCCCCGCAAAGGAGGATTCAGTCCTACAAATACATTTTCCGCCATCTTTAATTTTACCCGAATGACATTTCATGCCGCTCGTGATCGTTTTTGGGGGTGGGTTGGCCCCAACGTGATTAATCTTATGGCAAGAGTAGATTTCTTACAAATTTCATTGATGTGGCTACTAGATGACAAATTATTATCCATAATAACACCTAGATTCCTTGCTTTCTTTGTGATGTTAATTTCAGTCCCTGCAAATGTGATGCTGTCACCAAAGGATGGTTGCTTCATAAAACGCGGTATAAAATGCAGCACCTTGGTCTTTCCAGGATTGCTTTTAAGCATGTTTCTGATGTAACTTTTTTGTCAAAAATTGTGTTTAAAAGGGTTATGGGTTGGATCTCGGGATGGAGTCTCCCTGTGCAAAACTTTGTTGGGAACACTTCTGAGACTTCAATCTGCTGAATTCTTAAAGATGTCTTGCTCCTACACTACAAAACAATGGTCCCTGGTATGTGATTATTTGTGTTGTAATATCGTGGGCTGACGTTACTAACAGCCTTCTTTTTCTTTCAAAATTATTTTGTAGGTTTTATGGTTCAAACTGAAATGGGCTCTATGAGATGCAGAGCAATGCTGCAGATAATCTACCGGTATGTTCAAGGGCACTTACACATAACACTGCTGATCTTAATAAGTTGAAAGAGCGTTTTGCTCTCAGCCAGGTAAAAATTGTTACAATGGTATAGTCCATCTGCTTCTTCTCAGATAGTTTCAGGGCTAGTTCAGTGACAAATCGTTCGGTGTCTATGCCATTTCCGTCATACGGTGCGAACGTGAGAGGGCTGAATATAATGTCTGATATGAACTACTGGGCAAAGTGCTGGATCCTGAGTAAAAGCCAGGATTTCAACTGGACCAAGGTGTTTTCCAGGACGGGTCATCGTAAAAAATTTTTTTGTAATCAAGGTCACATTCATAATAGCACAGACTGGAGAAACAAGTATAAATGTGAAAATGCATTTTTGCATTTATTATTTTTTGTCCGGAAATGTGTCTTTTGGGGTTTTTTTTTGACAAAATAATGCCCAAAATGAAGTTCCTCATTTTTAGATGAGAAATGAGAAATATTAGGAAGTATGGAAATGGTACATTTTAGTTTGTACTGGGTGAAAACACAAAGACACTTACACTTAACACCTGAAGTTGACCTTTATTTTACATCGCTTGGAACAGAAACCTTAATGAGTAATAAACAGGTCCCTTTACGAATGAAAGAATGTAAGTCTTCTGAACTGCTTTGTTAAAATTACATGATTTGTACACTCTTAATTTTTCACGATATTTAAGACTCAATGGAATAGTCTACAGGCAAATCTTTTCTTTAAAATATATCCATATTCAAAAAAACTTTGTCTTTCTACAAATATGTATAAATTTATGAAATCCGTCAACTCAGCAAACCAGAAATTCGTAGAATGCTACAAAACCATATAAGCTAAGTCATAAATTTATGAAATCCTTCAGCTCTACAAACATTTCATAAATTTATGAATTATAACAACGTTCAAAAAAGGCCATCAATTTATGAAGTCCTTCAGCTATTGAAAAACGGTTCATAAATCGATAATATATTACATCTCTCAAACAGCTCATTAGTTTATGAAACACAACCTGGTCTACAAACAGCTCATAAATTTATGAAATTCAACTTGGTCTACAAACAGCTCATATAAATTTATGAAATAAAAGTGGTCTACAAACAGCTCATAAATTTATGAAATACAACTTGGTCTACAAACAGCTCATAAATTTATGACATAAAATTGGTCCACAAACAGCTCATAAATTTATGGAAGACAACTTGGTCTACAAACAGCTCATAAATTTATGAAATTCAAGTTGATCTACAAACAGCTCATAAATTTATGAAATACAACTTGGTCTACAAACAGCTCATAAATTTATGAAATAAAATTGGCCTCCAAACAGCTCATAAATTTATGAAATACAACTTGGTCTACAAACAGCTCATAAATTTATGAAATAAAATTGGTCTACAAACAGCTCATAAATTTATGAAATACAACTTGATCTACAAACAGCTCATAAATTTATGAAATACAACTTGGTCTACAAACAGCTCATAAATTTATGAAATAAAATTGATCTACAAACAGCTCATAAATTTATGAAATTCAAGTTGATCTACAA